ACATCCTCTTTGGCCTTGTTTTGTAGCTCCCCACAATTTAAATGGGCCTCTGCGATGCAAAAGTGTCCTCTGATTTAAACTGCAGTATGTGATGGGAGCGTAAAGCATTATGTACAGCTCTTTTGTGCTATATGCTTTAGCGAACTGCCTCTCGTGCCATTGTGCACTTGCTCTGTTTGTATTTTCAGCAGCGAAAATTCCTGCAATTCGTGACGGGCTCGCCGAAACTTCCGGTTGGCGGTTTTCGTTCACTGAATCCGCCACTTACAGTTGTCAAGAAATCGGGCTCTTATGGCAACAGTGATGTGGAACTCCCATCTGCAATGACGTGTTACAATTATTTGAAAATTCCGGCATACAGCAGTTATGAAGTGTTCCAAAGTAGATTTGAAGTGGCGCTGCGTTTTATCTACAGTTTTCACCTGACATAAATTTTTTGATTCCGTTTTTCGTTTGGGTTCTTGCAAAAACGATTATGCTGCCCCTTCCCCGACTTTTTACATCTGGCATCCATTCACTTCTGGTTCTGTACTGGCTGGCAGGACATACCACTTTCTTAACACATTCGTCGACGATTAATTTCTGATAATTTGGCTTCAAGTAATGTTTCGATTGGATGTAACTAGTAATGAAGTTGGTTAATTTAACTGATGGTATAATAATTCTAATACCTCAACAAGCATCCATGCTTCTCCCCATATGCTTTCGTTCTCTGATTTTGAAAGCCTTTTTTGCTGTTAGTGCTGCTGCTGCTCCTGCTACTACTGCTGCTGCTGCTAGAATTCTGCAGTTCATGAGCTTTCGAACCTTTAGGTGCTGCTGTCAGTTGTTTTTGTCGAAACGATAGGTTTATCTGGTTTTGTTGATGTGATCCATATTTGCCCTCTTTCTTGATTATTTCGAAAACTTTATCTTCCCGATGATAGGCGTTGAATGGATTTCCCAATTTCTTTATTTTTCTTTTGTCTGATATTTTGTATAGGCCTGTTCTGCTCTGATTGTATAGACTGCATCCTGTGTACACC